TAGAAAAGAAAAACGAATTTAAAAAATTAAAAAAACTCATATACATAAAAATGAACACATAAAAAAATAGTATATCAGCTTTTATTTAAAGCAGATTTTTTTTTCTCAGATTTTCTAATCAGATCTATCAGAACTGGCCATTTCCTTGAATATTATCTCGTTTTATACTTTACACCTTTTTAATGTTAAGGTCTAAGGTGTTTGACCTATTTTGTATTTACAGCGGTATGTGTATCTGCTGGACATACCAGGAGAACAGGAAATCTGTGTAGGGAATTCTGGGAACCCGTAACTACGAAAAATTCCAGTTCTAAAAATTACATTTATTCATTTACGTGTGTGAGTGTATGTGCCATAATGCAACACATGTATGGAGGTCAGAGGAAAACTTGTGCTAGTTGCCTCTCTCCTTTCATCATGTGGGTTCTAGGGATTCAACTCAGGTCATCAGTCTTGGTGAAAAGTGACTTTACCTGATGAGCCATCTTACTAGCCCTGAAAATTTCTACTTTTTATTTTCTGTTTTATGTGGTAAAAATTGAGAAGAGAGCTAATAAGAAAGGAGGTACTTTTTTCTGAACAGTAGCATTTCTGCAGTAGAATGTACTTATTTTTTAAGGCAAATACTATAAGTGTTCCTAATTTTGATTATATGAATTATTCTTTTAATAGACAGTGGATTTAAGCCCATTATAGTCACGGCGCCAGTGAGTACAAAGGTGGCAGATGGAGACTTTGTTACTTTGTCCTGCAATGCCACTGGAGTTCCAGTCCCGGTCATTCATTGGTATGGCAACCATGGATTGATAACCAGCCATCCGTCTCAGGTCCTTAGGTCCAAATCCCAAAAGTTCCACCTGTTCAGACCTGGGGATCTTAACCTGGAGCCTGTCTACTTCATCATGTCCCGAGCTGGCTCAAGCTCTCTGTCTATTCAGGCAGTTACTCAGGAACATGCTGGGAAATACACCTGTGAAGCCACGAACAAACATGGCACCGCACAGTCAGACGCACTCCTCACAGTGGGTGAGTTGCTGTGAGCATTTTTCCTCAGTGCAACAATGCCCTTTATAGGTGGGGAAAGACGGTTTGAAATGTCCTTTTAATGAATAGAGCAGTCCCAAATGTGTGTTTTTGCCATGGCAGTGTCTTGGGGTGCTTTGCTGTAGGAACCAGCTGAGCCCTGGTCTCCATTCTCATTTGGTTCTTACTTGGGAGCAAGCTCAAAATACAGCTTTTCTTTGTGTTTAATGCTTTTGAAAGATACTGAAAATGTTAGTTGCACGTAGTTTTCAGATGAGACCTTGAAAAACATGGTATTCAAAGTCTAAAGGGTCGATTTGCATTGAGAATGTAGACTCAGGGTCCTATCAAATACCTGTATGTATCTAAGTTATTTTTTAAATGAAATGTATAATATTATATTTTATTGCTTTGTCATGATGATGACTTTAAAATTTCATGTGAATTTTCAAGTACTCAAACCTTATACCAGTAGGCATGTTGAGTCATGTTCCCCAGTGTTAAGTCAGTAGATTATAGAGTAGTTATTAAGTCAGTTGAGTAGATTGTTGCTGGGTTTGTCTTATTACAGGCAGAATATCCAGTACTATTTTAGTTGGGGGAAAGCTGAGGTCCCTGCCCTAGTTTTCTTTAGAAAACTTCACATGGCCTTTTCTGCCCGGTTCCTCAGGTCCCTCTTCTTGTCATAGAGCCCGTGGGGTCAATGCCAGTATATATCCTGGAGTTCTTATTTCTTCTTGTGGATAACAGGTGTAGGGCTCCAGAATTCTCTGCTTTAATTAGTTTACATGGGTCGTCTCGCCTGCCCTGTCCTCCACAGTGGAGATCACATCATCGGCATGTTCCAATATCCTTCAGCCAGAGGAAGAGCATTTGGGTGGTCTTTGGCAGTAGAGTACTGGTGATAGATGTTAGCACTGTTGCCTGTTTTCTCATGTAAACAAGGAGCCCATAGCCTTGGATGAAACTGCAGGCTGGAAGAGAAGTGGGGAAAAGCAGGGACCTGAGCACCTCTCTCATACCCTACTCGAATAGTAGATGGGGAGAATGTGTGGAGGGGAAGCATACAGGCTTTGTCAGAATACTGGCTCTGCTTCTTAGAGCTTTGTAGCTTGAGGCCAGTTAATGAACTGCCTGTTTCCTCATCTATGCCCCTGATGTCCTGATGGTGTTATTTGCAAATCCAAGTATTGGAAATGTGTTAGAATATATTCTGGGAATAGAAAGCCTTCCATAAATGCAATGCATTACGTTATGGTCATTACTATCTAATTACTAGTAAATTACAGTTATCCATTGTGGTATGTTCATGACCGGAAGAGGTAGTTACTGACTTTAGCAACCTTCAGAATTTTCAGATACAGGAGGCAGTTAAGAGTTATATAAATTTCTCTGGCTAGTTGGGATGCGGGTATAAAGATGAATAAGATTGTGTGGGATGTTCTCTATGAAATACAAAAAAAAAATCAATAAAAAGCCATTAGTAAAATGAAAAAAAAAGATAAATTTAGACATATGAATATGTATGTGCACATATGTGTATATGTATGTGTTTTGGTTTTTTTTTTGTCTTGTCTTTTTGAAGCAGGGTCTCCCTGTAGCCTCAGTTGTCCTGGAACTCACTTTGTAGACCAGGCTGGCCTTGAACGCACAGAGATCTGCCTGCCTCTGTCTCCCAAGTGCTGGGATTAAAGGCATGCACCACCATACCCTGCGATGTGTGTGTATTTTTATAACATATTCCACTAAGCAAAATAAGAGTGGTACTCAAAATTGTTAGCTGCATACAGGTACACAGGAGCTGCTTGGGTAGAACTTA